CTAAAAATATCGGTTCGACTGCGTGGAGGGGAGCCTTGAGGTGAGAATCATCGCCTTGTCCGTTCCTCCTGTTCCTGGCCCCCTTTGGGCTACACTGACGTTCCGACGTTCACTCTGCCACGTGTCCACGCCTGAGGATCCTCAAAGACCCTCTGTACCTTCTTGTCCTGCACATCTGCCAGCGTCGCTCGAGTCGAGGATTGACCGACTCCGTCGGCCGATGCGGTCGATGCGTGAGGGAAACAGGTTGTCCAATACATTCTGTGTGGTGATCAGTGGTGATCGACTTTTCATTCTACTTGGAGGTCAAAATTCTAAATAGACAAGAATGGCCTGGCTCCAGCCCTCCATCCAGAAGCCTCCAGGAGGACTTTCTGCTCCTCGCTGACGACGCCACCTGCGCACGCCCGGAGAGACGCTCGCATAAACAGATTTGTTCCAAAAGAAGTGGGAGCGGCGCCATTCTGATGGGCAACCCTTGAACTATTCATCAAAGAACTACAGTATATAACATGAATTAACAAAAAAACATGTACGAGTAGAAGTCAGAAAACCCTTCGAGCAGGCCAGGCTCCAAAAATGTCATCTCCCAGTGCTCTAGAAAGTCTCTTGAGTTCCATGTGGTCCCATCCTTGGTCAAAGCGCAACTTGCGGCGCGCCTACGTAGGCAGCTCTTACAGCCTTTAGCGCTTCTGAGACGGTGCGATTCTCTTTGGCACCCTGTGCAGCCCATCACGAGACTTCCGGGCACGAGATTCTCAGCACGGCCCGGCTCCAAGTATTTTAAGGAGAACCGTCTTCAAAAAAACAAAAGCACAGCTGCCCTCCTCGTTTCTTCACCTGTCTTTTTGAGTGCGCCGTCAAAAGGAATTAAAGCCGCATGATGCTGCATGTACATGTATAGCAATTATTGGGACCCTATCAAGAGCAGCCAACCCTGGCAAAGCATGCCTGTCGTTCGGCTTGTCTCGCCAACTCTGTCTCATTCAGCAGGCGTTGGTCCTAATGGCGTCGAAGCCCCAAACTGAGGCGAGGCAATCGTGAAACATGTGACTCAAACAGCAACACCCGACTGTGGTTCTCTCGAGAGGAGGGAAATGCCAAGCTTAACTTCATGATCACACAAAGCAGGACCGAAATCTTAGCATCTGACGCCCACGTCAACATCAAGGTCACCCTCAAGGCCAAACAGGCGCTGGAATCTCAAGTACCTGGACAGCTTACAATAGGCGCTGGAAACCATCTGGGTGGAGGAGATTTTGTAAAAAACACTCTTCGATGAAAGAGGTTCTTTGTCGTTCGTTGTCTGTGTCCAATTCTTCTTGATGTCTCTCCTTGATCATATGTCTAATCTACATGTTCCATTCTTGAATAATAATAACAATAATAACAATAATCCATTAAGCAATGTCACTAATAATAGTATAGTATAGTATAGTATAGTATGGTATGGTATGGTATGGTATGGTATAGTATAGTATAGTATAGTATAGTATAGTATTTTATTGTATTTGCCCTTTCATTTGTAATATCTAAAAATTATATGAAAGACACGTCTGGCCTATCTCTATTGCTTTCTCAGATCAAACTAGTGCCATGTGGATGGCTTACTCCTTCCCACAGACTGTTTTTATATTACTGCAAAGCCGTCAAAAACATGTATGTATGTGTATATGTGTACCCTGCACAGCAACATGGGTTCTATCCAAATATGTAACATGTAGCAAAGGAGTGTTATTGCCTGAAGACATTGTGTGGGCTGGAGATGCAGCTGCACAATGATATGGACCAGCGAACAGCACAGGGTGGAACCGCTATCTCTTGACCGACCTAAACATGATGCTACCTGTGAATCCATTCTCCATTTTCTATATTTAGATTCTCTGAACGCCTCAGCGATTGACCAGCGGGAGTCCATCCTACCGCCCCAAACTCGTCTAGGGCAATCAACCTGGCAACGTTCATAGAGGGCACTCTATGGTGTCAGAGTCTGAGCCAGGCTCATTCCAGTTGATGGTCTCTGGAAGCTTCAACCTCGCCAACACTGCAGTCTTGTTGGAGATCTCCTACTTTGGTAGCTTTTTTTCTGCATTACTCAGCCATGTTGTATGAGCTTGATAGCCCTTCTACACAGAAACGCGGTCGAGAAGCGTCTTTGGCATCAAAGACAGTTGCTCCCGGTTGACATACATGGCGTCCTGCGCATGCAATTTATCCGTCGAAGCTCATTCCAAGAGACAGGCTCGGGGGGCTTCCGTGTGGAGCACAAAAAGAAAAGTTCGCCTTTAATGGAAAAAGACGCGTTATGAAAATTGGTCGGAGTGTACAAATATGAGATGCGCGGCGGAAAACTAATATTAAAAAATAGAACAACAAAAAAAGAGGGCGCATGAAAGTTGTCGCAGAATTCACCTCCACAAATTGTCTGCAAACGCATGCAAGCTACGAAGACACATGCAAGCCGGAGCTGCAACCTATGGTCTCTCATGCTAGGAATGTAAGTAAGGAGCGGAGCGAAAGGAAGAAAGGAATGCTGAAAATGTCGACACGACCCTGTGTAGAAGAACCCATTCCACACAAAAACTATCTGCCGCAAGGGCCACCACGTGAAGCCCGAACAACGCAGTAAACGCAAGGATTAATTAAAGGAACCCCTCCATAACAAACACAAGCACCTAGCAGGCAAACAATTCTCGGCTGGCAACAGCTTTCCACAACCTGACACCTTAGGAAGCCAAATGGGGCAATCTTCTTCATTCGCTAGCAGCTGGATGTACTGCAGGTGATAAACATGGTAGGGTTAGGGTTAGGGTCTGCTGGCAAGCCACCAGCCAGACATGGAAGGATGTCAGATAATACATATATATATATATACATATATATATACTGTAAGTGCAGCAGAGCAGCAGTGCCGCTGACTCTCAAAAGGCGGGCACAGCATGGCACGGCAACCAGCATCAGCCCGAAGCACTTAAAACGCAGTGGCACCCCTGCAAACTGGTGCTGGCTTAAACTGCTTCTTTCTGTTGGCAAAGATTGTCGTGCCTTTCCCAAGACGGCCACCTTTGCAAAGCCCAAGGGCAGAAGGAGGCTATCCATCGCCTCATGCAACAAATCAGCCAGAATCTCTCACTTGCCTCAACCAAATGTGTATGTATCACTGTGTCACCAGTGTTCTATGTCCTCGTTTCAGGACAAACTTGTGCCTTCTTCTTCTTCTTCTTCTTCTCCCTCACTGCCTCCCCTCTCCCTCTCTCTCTCCCTCTATCTCCATCTCCCCTTCAGGCCCTCTACTTTATGCTGCACAAATCTCTGTCCAAAAGAAAGTCAGGATCAGGAAGTGAGGAAGCCGCAACGAGGCTATCGCTCAAAGCCATCACTTCGGCATTTCTGTTGAGGGGTTGATCCCATCAAGCAAAGCAAGCTGCTGGATGCACTTCAACCTCTCTGAGCAGCCAGCCATGGATGTTCTCCTCACAGAAATCACATGGCTAGGACCCCACATCAAGCAGACAGCCATAGCTAGGATGGATGGATCTGATCTGGACGAGTCACTTCAAGTCCATCCTAGCCATGTATTTTGGGCAAATCTGATCCCAGCGCATTGGCGACCGGCCAAGTGATGTGGACAGTGTCTGGTTTACTTCTTGCCTTTTGAGATCGTCTCCAAGAAGACCGGTGTAAACCAATGCGCCGTTGGCAGAAAACTCTGTTGTTGCTTGGGGTGAACCTGGCTTTTGGCCTTCAAATTGTCCCAGCTCAGCACGCTAATCTAAAGCATGAAAATGGGGGTGATATATAGATCCAATAGACCGCACCATGCCGTGGGTACATAGCATACATGCCAGGTACATACCCTGCCAGGTGCAGATATACAGTAGCAGGTGCATGCCAAACGTGTCAGCTACATAAAGCAACCTTTGGCAGTGAGCCAGAGGCTTTGGATGCCATTTTCTGTGGCGACACCGAGCCCGGGCTGAGAGGGGCATTCCAGGGGTGCAATAGACAGGTTTGCCAAAGACAGGTTTCAGGCGAGAGATAGAGGTAGACTTCCTGACGCAAAAGTCAGAAAGCAACGTTTGCCACTGGACGAGAGGCTTTGGGGGCCATTTGCTTCGGTGGAATTTGATTGGGAAATAGTGTGGCGACACCGGTTGAGGGCGTGGCGTGGCGAGGCCAGGCAGAGCGCCGTTTCAGTGCTAGAGTCTGAGTCACCACCACCACCAGCACCACCACCACCACCACCACATCCACCACCACCCTTATGGCATCGCCGGTGTGCAAGGCTCTACCTAATATAGCAGGTACATACTGGTGTCCACCACAGAACCCCACAGAGATCCATGTTTCGACTCCCGTCCTGCTGGTCTCCACCACGATGCAGCGAAGGTCCCAGGCCTGGACACGGAGGGTAGCGTACCCGGAGGGCGGTGTGCGCTGTCGGTGAACATTTATTCAGGAGGGGTTCAGATCAGTTCACAAAAAGGTCAGAAGTTCGCGGAATTTTACAGTACATGTCCAAAGATTGAAAGAATGTGTGTTTTGGATTTCCAAAGAAATGGGATTTATATATATATATACTGTAACTCAATGAAAAGGACAACTTCTCACATCACATCTCACAATCGCCTTTTTTCTGAGATTCGTGAGACCAATTGTCTCACCACGGGTGAAAAGCACAGCCCGTTCGCCAAGTCAGAGATTCCTTCAAACCTTGTTTCAAGGAAATCGTGTTCATCTAAGCTGCCTGGATGAACTATGCTCCAACCTAGCACTTGAAGCTTCGTTGGGCCATATATGACTTCGAAACAGGCATGCTATGTCCAGGCCGCGCCCTTCGGCTGCCTGCCCTATCAATCACAGGGACCGCAGCAAAGAGCGGCCACGAAGCTGCAGCTGGCAGCTTCTCTGCTTCTCCGTAAGACGAGATTCTCATCGCTGAGTGTCTCGAAAACGGTGTCGAAATCGATCGAAACAGAGACGTCTCAGCTCAAGTCAGCTCAAACCACCAGCTCCTGACCAAGAAGTCAGCTCAAATGATTTGAGCTATAATGACAACTCAAATCACCAATATCTCAGCAGAACTCTTGACTTCTGATCTTGGGAGAGTCGAAATGGGGGCCTTTTGCACCTATGGCATGGGATCAATCCCATGCATCAAGTCACTTGCCCTTGCCCTTCCCATCGTAGCATCAGTCCATCCCACCTCCTCGATGCCACAGTCGCCGCTGTCAGAGGCACTTGGTCCACCACCCACCGCTGGGTGCTGAGCTTTGGTGAGCAAGGTCATGTCCTCGCAACGCAGCCGCAGCCGCCGGCAGCCGCCGCGTGCCGCGTGCCGCGTGCCGCGTGCCGCGTGGGCCGAAGACATGTCGCAGCGGAACGAGAGCCGGACTCACAGGGGGTTGGCGCTGCCCTTCAGTGATAGGGCACGGCGCCCTGCCCTTTTTGGGTGATCGAAGAAAACCCTAAGCGATGGGGTGGTCGAAAAAGAGGAGGGGCCGGTATGCCTGTCAACTGTGAAGATGCTGCAAGCGAGGCACTTTGTTGTGAACGCCTTCAATGCGTCGAAGAAAGTGGCTTGGAAGTGACTGTGATTGATGGCCACTGTGCTTGGATCCCCTGCGAAATGTCCCCACTCACCTCAGAGACTTCTAGTCCTGCTCACTCAGCTCGAAGTCAAAAATCTCGCTATTCTCCTGGCATATGTTCAAAGAATCGACTTTAACTTGTGTTCCGACCGGAGAACGTCATCTCGCACTCGCGTGGAAGTTGTTCGATGTGTTTTCGATGTGTTTTCTCGCACTCGCGCGAATGAGCGACGTGGATGAAACAGATCAGCCTTCATGTGATCTGGAACATGGCTCTTGGGAATCACTGGGATGCCCTGGCAGAACATCGCAGTTGCGCAGTTGCATCGGCCGTGGGTCTATGGGTCTGTGGGTCAAAAGAGAGTAGCTGGAAGATGAGCAAGGAGTTGCCAAACACTCTACTCATTTGTTCATAGCGTTTCGTTCTCACACAACCCTAAACCGTTCTGACACTTCAGACTGCAACACGCTTGCAGTGCAAGAAGGTTGTGTTCCTTCCCTTTCAAGCAACTTGCAACACATCTGTGCCTGTTGAACCAGCCAGCGCAATGCAACCTGCAGGTTGGGCTTTGGAGAAAAATGACAAGTGTAGCACCGAGTCGTTGGAGGTCTACTTCACTCTCCGGAGCTGATTGAAACATCGAAACGCAGCGATGACATGCATGGCCCTCTCTCCCGCCAATCAGCCAATCAGCCAAACAAACACACCCACGCAGCCATTGGGCCAACGCCTGAGGTCCTGTTTTCTTGTACTTCTTCCCAATGCCAGTGACCAGGGCACCTGTCAAGAGCTCCTGAAACGGGAAGGAGTCCGCTTCGGAGTCCAAGGAGCGGAGTGCCCCTTTCAACGTGGAGCTGAAGAGAACGCCAGGCTAGGCCGGCCCGGAGGCTGAACCGTTAGCGGGTCCGAGCGGGTCCTTGTTGTCGGGTGGGTTACACGGGCCACAGAGAGGCGAGAAGGACTGGTAGAGGACGCCCTTCTGCCGCCTCCAGTCGGACGGATCGAACCAGATCGGACGTCCCAATGTCCGGTCCGGAGTGGTGTTCGTCGATCAGGGCATGGTCTTGCAAGGTTCAATTGAGAGACCCCTCCCTTTTCTGAATGCCTGGACTTTCCGGTTTGGACTGGTTTTGCTGACCCACAAAAGAAGCGTTTGGAGTTTGGATGCAAAAAGGCCTTGCTCATCGAAGGGAACTGCCATGAAGTTTGCATTTGCTTTGTGCAAATGCTTAAGACACCTCAAATTAGTGCAGTACTAGTGCAGTACCAAGCAACATGTAGTCCCTGTCATCCGTGGCCTTGAACAGACGCGAGCAGCCTACGCTGTGGATCTCTGCCCCACATGGTGTTTCTCCGACTGTTTCTTGGAGGCCTCCACAAGGCCTCCACGTCGGTACCTTGCGACATGGACCAACGAAGCTACCTTCCCCTGTGGCCCTGTTCGCCCTTCTGAGGCCAAGGCCATGCGACCGGCACTGCCCATACCCACATGGTATTGAACCTGCCACATGGAGCTCGGGCTTCTGCCACAAGAGTCTCGGCATCACTGCATCTCATTGAATCTCTCCTAATGAGAAGCATTCGTACAAGGAGGATTGAGTGCTTTTTGACTGCTATCTAAAGCACCCCACCTTAGATTTTGGTTTGACCAAGCAGAAGAGTAAGATTAAGGAGTTCAATCGGCTGGAGACCAAACCATCACGCCCTTCAGTTTAAAATTAAAGAAATCTACTCATGGAGATCCGTCCCAAATACTTGTTGGCACGTTGCAAGTTTCCTCGGTCTTCAAGCAGCACATAGGTCGAAACGCAGAGTCCGCAAGCTCCACACATCTCAACACAGCCTGTCCTTCGCGACGAAGCTCCACCTGGCTTTCTAGTGGGACGTCACAGGTCACGCTGCACGCATACGCAGGCGCCTGAAAACAGGCGCCCAGAGTGGCTGAAAACCTCGGCAGGGAGCTTCTCCTGAAACCCCTTCAGGTTCTCAACAGCTGAAGTTGTAGTGCTGAGAGAAGCAGAGCCACTGGGCCTTGGAATGAGACTCAGAGACGCTGGCGCCGGCACCACGATGAAAAGCGCCACGATGAAGCAACGAACGAAGTCCAGATGCTCTGCTCCACGAAGAAAACATGCGCGCATGCACAAAGGGTTGCCCCAAGAAACATGGTGGCAAGGGTATAGAACAGTAGAAAAGGAAGTAGTAAGTAGGCACAGAAATGTCCACACATGCGGAATCATCTAGCTTCATTTCTAGGGGTCGTAGGTGGGAGATTGATGCAGCTTGCCCCTTAGCCTGTGGATCTCATCATGACATTTCTGCAAGAAAGTCTCGGGTGCGTCCGCACAAGTGCCGCAGCACCGTTGTGGTTTGCAGGAACGCTGAAGTGCCGAAGTGCTGAACAGCGACACCGCCAAGTCGAGACCCGTTTTCGTATCCCACCGTGGCATTTGGTCGGGCAGCCACACGACCCAACCGGTCAAGAACGGAAGATCAGCACCGTTGCTGGCCGGCTGACATGCAAAGGAAGTGTGTGGGACAAATGCACAGGAAGTCTGTGGGACGAAGCTGGGGTGTCCACCCGATACGTCACGAGTGTCATGAGAAAAATGCCTAGGGCCTAGTAGCGTCCTTGCTCCTAGAAGCGATGCCAGGAGCCCCTAGTAGCGTCCTTGCTTTTAGGCAGGACACCGGATACGTCACGAGTTTCATGAGAAAAAGGTATGTTCAGTTGATCTTCCACTCAGTTCCTAGTCACTAGTTCTTTGATTATACTTACCAAAACTAAGTGCTCTGTCTCACTCCCCTAGACGAACTGGAACACGAGTGCATACCACACATCATGGCTGAGAATGTATGGCTGATCGGATGATCCGGCTGGTCTCTTCCCCCACACGGACGCCACAGCTTCTGCTTTTGTGGCGTCTCCGCGCCTGGTTCACGGCCACCGGCACATGGGCCACCTCCACGTGGTGAAAAGGTGTTCGAAAGGTCCAACGCACATGTTCGATGGATGTTCAAAAAATGAAGGATTTCTTCGGAAATAGTGAAATATGTGTAGATGGCAAACTTTGGGAGGAGCTGAAGAGCTGCAGTGGTGAGCATGTTCAAGTCTCAGGCATACATTGCAGAGAGTCCCAAGTCATGTCCATCTCCCAACATGACTAAACACCTGTACATAAACAAATAATTTGGTGTCCAAAAAGATTGCACCTCACAAGATGAGAATGATGAGAAGAGCTGAAACTACATGACCTAGGGGATATATATATATATATAACAAGACAAACGGATGAGCAAACAAATACAGTAAGCTGAGCTGAGTTGAGCAAAGCTGAGATGACTTAGTGAATCACCGGCTGAGCTAAAGCAAATAAGCTGAGACGAAGGTATCCAAAGATCCACTGACATGCCATTTATGGCATGAGCGTCGTTTTCAAGTGACACGCTTCGTGCAAAGTGGAGTGAATAATGGTGGTGAGCGTGTGTGTGTGTGTAAATATATAATACATAATATAGCATTCCTTGGCATCGATCGATACGGTCAAAAAAGTCTACCAAAAAAAAGAACAAAGAAAGAACATGTGTTTAAAAACAGCTTATCTTCAGAAGAACAGTGATCATCAGAACTGTGAAGTTGCAGTGATCATCAGAACGTTTGCCAGATCACAGCAACTCATCTCGCCTCCAGAATATCATCCAACTGCCGCCGGCAGAAGTGCGAGATTCCAATCGCACGGGCCTCACAGCAAAGCCTTAAAACCAAGATATTCTTATAGACTAGACCGTTTCAGAAGCCTCTAATTTCTTGAAGGCTCACATGCACAAGAGCAAAAAGCGTTGAAAAAGCCACACACCCGACATTTGTTCAACACAAAGATAAGACACAGGAAACCTCTCGGGAACCTCTCAGATCAACGAGCTGGTGTGATCTTTTTGGTTGCGTAACTGCCCATAGAACCAGAATGAACCAGATGTGCCAAAAAGGACCAACCTGCTGCACGACTCCTACCCCGAAATCGTCCGAGCTAGCCTTGCCACTCTTTGCCCAGGCTTCCAAGGCCGTCCACTCCACTTGCCTCTCCTGCAAGCTACAAACATCCATGGTTGGGTGGGATCGTAGCTGGCGCCTGCCCAAGGCTTGGCCAAATAGAACTTGTCGATGTGGGTGTGTCGTCCAATCGGGGGAGACCCCTCGACCGGTGGAAATCGACCTCTCGACCCATCGGGCCCAGTCCGACAGGGCCGGACCGAACAGATCCACGCGGATCCGCCCCCAAGCAGACAAGTTCTCGTTGGAACCGGAAAAAGACACCCAACAGCCTAGGGACGGTTCCACTAAAGAAGCAGACACCCAAGGGATCCCAAGGGACGAGATTGACTTTTGAGACCTCTCGAGGCCCCAACGACAGACTCTGCATGACTCTGCAACAACAGGTCTTTATGGCGCAACAACTGCAACAACTGCGGAGTGAGTTGTTTGCAAAAGTTCCATTGGGTTGCACGATACTGCCAGCAACCATGCTCTGAGCTGCTCAATCAAGGTTTCTACTTAGATTGCCCATGCCAAATTGGCCCTGTTCAGCAAATGGTGAACCAGCCGGACAAAGCTCTTTAAACTGCTTGTGACTAGAGCCTGCTCCTACTCAGCTCCTTCGTGTCCTCGTGGAAAGTCTGAGATCGAGCTGCAGTCTACCATCCGATGATGAAGACGTTCGTCGCCGGTGCCAATAAGGAGTTCAGAGCTTTGGCAAAAAACGGGTTCTCAAGCCGGCGCCACCATCAGTCAGCGAGAAAATGCACCTCCATCTTCTCCAGCCTCGGTCCTTCACCTTCTCCAGCCTCGGTCCTTCCTTCTTCGTCTTGGTCCTCCTGACCTTCCAGACCCGACTGAGACCCAAACTGACCGATCTTCCCAGTTGCCTTCGCGAGTGAAATCCTCTCCCGCCCACGTCTTCGTCGCCACAAGGTTCGCTGGAGGGCTTCTCATGAGCTTCTACTGTATTAAGAACTCGAAGCACAAAGAGATACCAACTGGTGCAGGAGGGACATTGTAAATCTTGAGGACACTTGTGTTAGGGCGCATTGGGGCACACTTTGTGCGACAAAGGCATGTAAAGTTAAGTGTTGCAATCCCTCGCAGTGAATGCTGCACGAACAGCCTTCACTTGTGTTCGGCTGTCCTTCTTGGAGCCGTTCTTGCCAAAGTCAGCTGGGAAGTGGATCAGCATCAAGTCTACCTCAGTCAATCAAAGGCCAGTTCTCAACGTTTTGTCAGATCCAGTTCTTACGGATCCAATTGCTTTCCATCTAGCCCTCTTACCAGCCCGTTGAATCTTGAAGATCGATGGATGATCCTTGGGACTGGCTGTTCGTTGTCTGTTGGATCCACGGATGATGCCACTGGTCTGAAGGAACTGGTCTGGCCTCTGGCTCTAACTCTGCGGCCAATCTCATTGTGTGTTTCAATCAGTCAAGAGCACCAGTTTGTTCCATGTATGGAGTGCTGAGTTCATTGATCTATGGTTGTATAGCATAGCAAAATTGAAATGTTTGCTTGTCAGCTGCATAATCTACGCCCAGCTCCTTCAAGCAAGAGTCCTCAGCTTTGACTTCCAGAAGAGGGCTGATCAGAAAAGTTTGACGACATGCAAAGATGAAGCAAAGTCCGTCAGCCGTATCATGCGTGCACTGCAGCGACCTCAGCAAAGATTCTCGGCCCCTGATAGCAACACCCCGAGACTAAACGAAGAGTCCTTGCACCTTTGACTTCTCGTGTCTATGTCAGCCAAGCGTCCGCAGCCGCCGCCGTGGCAGATGCGTTGAGGCCTATGGGACAGCAAACAGTTTGTGGGGACGAGTGGAGATTGGAAGTAACTCCCTTTTTCTGCAAATGCAGTAGGGTTTCGTGACTTGACTCAGTGATTCTGTCAATGGAACCCGAACAGTGCAGTCACCAGCCTTACCGGCTTCAGTGTAGATCGTCAGCAAGCTTGGAATACACGTGTGGACAGGAGTTATCATTCATACTCATTCATGCCAACTGCCTGGCCAAAAGTGGGGATGATCGACTGGGGTCTTTTCAATATCTCTTTAGCCAAGCGGATTTGGTCCATGGCTACAGAACAAAATCTGACTAACCTGACCTTTGGTCGCCACAGTGCAGTTGTAAAGTTCTTCCCCAGAATCATAGCCTACGTTTGATCGAAACACCTTCATCCTGGTTTTCTGTGACATGCAAACCTTATTTAAATACCAAGGGGAACCAGCTGGCCCAACGGGAGACGTGTTTTTTGTGCTGTTTGTGGACTGATGAACTCCCATGGACTCCGATGAAGAACTCTTCGCACCTCCAGGAATCTTTGATGTGATGAAGAACTCTTGGCGCTTCAGCTTCAGCTCTGCGAGTGCCTCTTCGGTTCTTCGCTTCAGCTTCAGGCAGCGGAGAAGAACCGAATCATTCACTGGGAACCTATCAACTAAAGCTAAGCTCTGCGTTCAATTGCAAGACGTTCGGGTTCACTCAGAATTCTGATTGAACCGAAAGCACGGCGTGCAGGCCCGTGCAGGCCCTGGCCTCACCCACACCCACTTGGTTCTGGTACGCAGCCGCTGTGTCCACGTGCCTGAAGAAGGCAACCATCGAACCATGGCTACTATAGTTGACCATAAAAGCGCTAACAGCGAGCTTGCAGATGCAAAAGCATCAGCCAACTGAAGCACCGTCTGTTTCCCCCCCACTTGTCTAGCTCCAACGTCGCAAAGATCTGGACGATGGACACTTCAGTGACTCATCACCAGCATGGACACTGACAAACAAGTACAATCAGGCTCTACCCTCCCTGCTACAAACATGCAAGTGGACGAGTACATACCTTTTTTGTCGGTGACCAGTGGCCGCGCTGGCACTTTGCAACTGGCGTAAGTGGCCCTGGCACGCCTGTATCCCAAACCGAAGGCCGAAACCACCGCGCTCTTCGCCACACTGTTGTTGTACCTGGGTCGGCAGACCAGAGAACACACAACGGTAGGGCCTCGTGAAAACCTCGCATTTGTGGCGTCCATGTGGCGTCCATCTTGCTCAGCTTTCACCCACACCCTCCCACAGCCAAACGCCACAAAGCCACTGCCAAGTGCCAAT